TTGCCATTTGCATTGCAATGGGGGATGCAGCTCAATGGCATCACCATGATGCCATTCATTTTGCGTGCGTTTAATAACGCGATAGAAACAAAAATAAGAAACCACATATGAGTTTTTTTTTATCACGAAACCATAATTTTATTATACTGTGAACAACACTGATTCTAATTAGCGTTTGATTTTAATATAATCACTGATTCTACAACTAATTTAAAGACCACTTTACAGATAGTCATTTGAAACAAACAAATGTCAATCTTCTTGCAGCACTGATTGTAATACGTGAATAATCCGAGTGACTATTTTTTGTTTTTTTTTTTTAACAAGTTAAATATTTATTTTATAATTATTATAATTATTTGAATAATTTTTTAGGAAGAAAATAAAAGAATTTTTGACAAAAGAAATAAAAGAGTAGTAAAAAGTTGAAATGTCAAGAATGAAATCGTCCTTCGGTCTTTTTTGTTTGTTGCTTTTTTGGTTAGCTTGTTTGTACCCATGTCGCGTGAATGTAACATCCAAATTATGGAAAGAGAAAGAAAGAGTAAGAAGAATTGAAAGAGATAGTAAATTTAGAAGTGGGGGATATATCCGTTGTATGTATTCTAGTCTTCATTTCAAGTTAGCTCTCTATCAGTCTTAAGTCAATCTAATTGTTTGAAACATTGTTTAGGCTTAACGCATTGTTGGTACAGTTATTTATTTCATTTTCAAAATATAATTCTATTATTATTTTTTTTTAACAAATAATTTTGTTTATTACATTATTATTACGTGTTTTCATATATATGTAAATGTATATGTAAAGTTCAATTGATTTATTCATAAATAATATTCAAATTAAATATGGTGTGCAATAATTTGTAATGTTGTATTATTCAAATGAATATTTGAAAAAAAAAAATTATTATACAAGTTACACGTGCGTGTTTTGTGTTATTTTTATACGTATTATTTTATATACATAATTATTTCAACGTATTGAAGAATTTTATTTCCGATTTAAAGAAATATTGTTTTCAACTGTGTTATTTTGATTGTTCTAAAAACAGGCTTACTACTTTTTCTATTCTATAAACCAGAACAAAACAACAACAAAAAAAAAGAATATAATTTTATCAGCAAGACAAAATCAATATGAAGATCAATTTTCATAACAGGTACCTTTCACATTTCTATACCTTTTATGATTCACGTAGGAAACCAAAAAGTTTCGATGACAAAACAAAAATTTCTAACGGTAGTTGCAGGAAAAAAATAAAACAAAACAACAACAAAAACAAGAAATTTAATTTGTTGCACAATTATTAAAACATTTATGATTATTAAAAATTCATAACAATTAATTGTTTAGTTGTTTGTTTGTTTGTTTTTTTTTCTTTTCTGAAGGAATAAGTAATAAAACATTTGGAAGTTCAAATACCATTCTAATCTTAAAAGTAGGTCGTCCTAATAGTCAAAATTATCACCTCACTTTCATTTTTGTTTTGCCATCTTCTTTCGAATATTTTAATTAATTAATTTTATTTTTTTTTTTTTTTTAATTTGATTGTTTATATTTCGAAAAGTATCTCATGAAGGTAACATTAATTATCAATAGGAAGCGACGACACACATACGTTTCAAATTGGTTTGAAGAGAAAGTTTTAGTTTCCCCGATCGGAATTCAACAGATTCTCGATGGTACTAGTCAATAAAATTATCCTAAATGCATTAAACAACTTTACTTATTATATATAACAATAATAAAACGTTTTTTGACACAATTGAACACGTGTTTAATGCAAACGATTAGCCATCATGGTTTCCGGTTAACGCAATATTAAAAGAAAACAAACAATTAAATTCATACTATTATTTGATAAATCAACAAATTATAGATTTAATTATTGTTGTTTTTTTCCCCCTAATAAGAAAATGTAGGTCATATAAATGCAATCTATGATTATGTTGATAGAATCAGCCAGCTTTTGCGGTCGTACATTTCTAAGAACGAGAGATGCACACGTGAAATACTTTCACAAAGATTGTACACCGAAACGGTACCGTCTTCTTCCAAATAATAAATCATCAAAATAACAACAAAAGAACGTATGAAAATAAAAACAACAACAACAAGGAATTATTTAATTTTAGATTACAAACGTAGACGTGGATTTTCATGCAAAACCATACAACGAAATCCCAGGACCAAAACCAATTCCAATCTTAGGAAACACATGGAGAATGTTGCCATTGATTGGACAATATGAAATTTCTGATACCGCTAAAATAAGTCAATTGTTTTATGACGAATATGGAAAAATCGTTCGTTTGAGTGGTTTAATTGGTAGACCTGATTTATTATTTGTTTATGATGCTGATGAAATAGAAAAAGTTTATCGTCAGGAAGGGCCGACGCCATTCAGACCATCGATGCCATGTTTGGTTCATTACAAAAGTGTCATACGTAAAGATTTCTTCGAAGATATTGGTGGTGTTGTCGGAGTGTAAGTGACAATTCTATTATTTTAACAAAATTATTATTTTTTTTTGTCAAATACAGTTTTCATATCATTTCAAATTAATTATTCATACATCTTGTTATTTCAACAATCTAGATTTTTCATTTATTTATCTTATTTCAGAAATCTTTGAAATGAACTTTGAACTTTACCATCTTTTTTTTTTACACCATTCTAAAATTCCTTTCATTTTTCTTTTCTTCTTTTTATTACAATTTATTTCCATATTTAAGCTTCTGCATTTTTAATACGCAATTCAAACAACAACAACAATTAAAAAAACCAAAAACACACACAGAAGATTATTTACTGAGTCAACAAAAATTTCTTTGACAAATTACCAAAACATTAAACATCATTGAGTGGTACTTTAAAAGTGGCTTGTTTATTATAATAAATCAATATTTAACTTAGACACGGTGAACCATGGAGAAAATTTCGCACGCGTATACAGAAACCAGTTTTACAACCGCAAATAGTTAGAAAATACATAACACCGATTGAAACTGTCACGAGTGATTTTATAAAAAGGTATTTGATCCAAAATTCAATACCCCACTTTAAATAAAACAATATAAACAATTGTTTTTTTTTTCTTTTTTTTTTTTTTTAATTCCATTCACAGGATAGAAGAAATTCAAGAAGAAAATGGCGAATTACCGGGAGATTTTGACAACGAGATACACAAATGGGCACTTGAATGTAATTTGTTATTAATATAATTAATCAAATGAATAAAAATGAATTTTATTTTAATCGTTTCGATATATAAAAAGGTATAGGATTAGTTGCATTGGACGTACGATTAGGATGTTTAGGTGGATCCCTAGAACCAGATTCAGAACCACAGAAAATTATCGATGCTGCCAAATTTGCTTTGAGAAATGTTGCAGTTCTTGAATTAAAAGCACCTTTTTGGAGATATATACCGACACCACTTTGGACACGTTATGTTCGTAACATGAATTATTTTATCGAGTAAGTCCCCATAAAACTTTCATTCATCATTGTATCAAAATTAATTACATTTTTATATCTAATATAAAATAAAATAATTATTTAATTTTTTTAGAGTATGCATGAAATACATCGATGCTGCTATGGAAAGATTAAAGAAAAAAAAATCAACCAAGGAAGAGGATCTTTCATTGATTGAAAGAATTTTAGCAACTAATGCTAATCCTAAATTAGCTTACATTCTTGCATTGGATTTATTTTTAGTTGGCATTGATACGGTAACAAATTATTATTATTATTATTATTATTATTATTATTATTAATTGGAATTAGGAACTCGAAAGTTCATTGCCGCAAATACCAAATTCCGCCATTGTTCCCATCCCTGAGCGCAATTCTTCCATTCGCGGGCTTCGTATCCTATTTCTTTCAAGTCCCTGATACGGTAACAAATAAATAAATAATTAATTTCAAAAATAAGAAGAATTACTAGGGGGGTGTCATTTGTATTAAATAAAAATAATATACCTTTATGTATAATAATTATAATTGTTTTAGATATCAATGGCGGTATGTTCGATATTATATCAATTGGCAACAAGACAAGAAGAACAAGAAAAAGTTTATCAAGAATTACTTGAAATTCTTCCTGATGCAAATACTCCTCTTACTGTTTCACATCTTGATCAAGCTATTTATACTAAAGCTTTTATTCGTGAAGTTTTTAGGTAACTAATGTAATTACTTTTGTAATGAATTTTGTAATAATATTAATAATTATCATTACATTTTGTAGGATGTATTCAACTGTTATTGGCAATGGTAGAACGTTACAAAATGATACCATAATTTGTGGATACAAAGTACCTAAAGGAGTAATTATTCATTTTAATAATAATCTTTGAAAATCTTTCAAAATATTTCAATCATTTTCTTCCTAACCTTACAATTTATATATAACAGGTTCAAGTTGTGTTTCCAACAGTTGTAACTGGAAATATGGATGAATATGTCGAAGATGCTAAAACATTTAAACCATCGAGATGGCTTAAAACATTCGCTGATCAAAAATTACATCCATTTGCGTCATTACCATATGGATATGGTGCACGTATGTGTCTTGGTAGAAGATTCGCTGATCTTGAAATGCAAGTACTACTTGCTAAAGTAAGTAATTTATATAGAATTATATTTATTACTAATTATTCATTAATTATATATATATATTTTTTTTTATGTTATTATCTTTCAGTTGATACGATCGTACAAGTTGGAATACCATCACAAACCATTGAAATACAAAGTTACGTTTATGTATGCACCAGACGGAGAACTCAAATTCAAATGCATTAAAAGATAATAATTAATTATTGGCAATAATTATCAATAATATAAATAATATTTATAAACAAAAAAAAATTAACAGATTGTAATAATACTTACAAAATAATAAAATATATTACACAGAGAAGGGGGTTAAATATTTCTGACGCTCTTCTTAGTTGATTTTGTATCCACGTGTGTCGCTAAAGTCACGCATCTCGAATCGATTAATACCTCCATTTTTTCGATAGATGGAACTTACAAGATTCTCAGGGATATACTTAAAAAAAAATCAAGAATGAAAAATTGCACTAGTATATCAATTTTAATAAGAAAATTTCTATGTGTTGATTAAATTAGTGAATAATTTTGTAATTCCAGTATTTTGTGTTGGATGATGCATCATTTCCTAACCTATCTTTCTTTAAGCTGTTAGAATTTCTTAGTTTGACGTTTAGAGTGATCAGTGATAACAATGGCAAGATTTCTTACGTGGAAATGTCTTCTTTTATTAGTTATAATACAAATTGGTATGTAATTTATTTCTATACGATTTATTTTTCTTATTAAATATAATTTTATGTAATTAAAATCTCATTATAACAGTCAATGCCAAAAGAATCAAGGATATGATTTATATGTCAATTGATGGTGCTGCTGGTTGTTTTAGAAGACACAATGGAACACATCAATTTGGTTGTTCATGTAAATAATTCTACAATCATATTAAATCATTGAATAACTTTCAAATTTATAACATTAATTGTACTTTCCTTTCTTAGCAAGTAGATCTGGTAGTGTAGGAGTAATACATTTAATAGAACAAGAAGATGATGTCAGATGGTTGGAAACTAAAGCAACTGCAGGCCCATATACTGCAGTCCTACCATTTTCAATGTTTACCAGAGATGTTCTTTTACGTTTGAAAAATACTAACAATATCAATGGCGTTCTATTGGCAAGAAATACTAGTCAAGAATATCCAGATTTTTATTCACCAGAAGATACCTGTCCAAACAGATACTCAAATTATAAAAAGTGTAACGATCAACGTCCATGGAATCCTCATGGATCATCAATTTTATTAGAAGACTGGCCATTTCCCATGTTTTATATGGAGGTCATTAATTTATACAAATATTCATTATTTATAATATTATCAATAATAATAATAATAATAATAATGTTTCATTTTGCTACAGAATCAAACACTTTTGGAAGCCATAAAGTCTTGTTTTTGGAATCACAATGCTCACGATCTTGAAAATCAAAGTGAACGTTCATTGTGCGCATTGGAAATGAAATCATTCATGTTTTCTGCTATTAATTCTGATTCTTGTATAAAACGTAGCGACTTTTATTTAAATATCAATCCAACATCATTCTGTGATCCACTTGGAGATAGAAATATACATTGGCCATTAGCACCATTAAATTCTGATTCTAATTCTGTAATAATGGTTACCTCCAGAATAGATGCATCTTCTATGTTTGATGGAATATCTCCTGGAGCTTTAAGTACAATAACAGGAATGGTTTCATTACTAGCTACTGCTGCTTACTTGCATTCTTTAAAACCAGTTATCAAAAGTAAGTTAATTTCTTTCCAAATCTTCACATACATAATTATTTAACAATCAAATAATACAATTTATTATTTTCAGATACAAATGTTGTTTTTACTCTTCTTAATGGAGAAGCTTTTGACTATATAGGTTCCAGTCGTTTGGTTTATGATTTAAAAGAAGGTCATTTTAATGCTCTCGGTGGAATCAATTTAAAACTCAATGAAATTTTAACTGTAATCGAACTTAGTCAATTATCCAAAGGAGATGCATTTTTGCATGTTAGCAATAATAAAACTAATCCAATGATAAATCAATTAAGTGAAAAGTTACCAGCTAAAGTATTGAGTAATAGTGTTCCACCTACATCTGTGCAAAGCTTTCTAGAAATAGAACCAAGTCTTACCACCATCGTTCTAACTAATTATCCAGATCAATTTATCAATAATTATTATAACAGCATTTTAGACAATGCTAAGAGTCTTCATTTCAACAGGTATTACAAATTATGATAAATATACAGAAGATATATCATTCTAATAACTAACATTTACTCTCTCTCTCTTTCTTTCATTTTAGTAATATTTCAAGTGATCTTGTACCAAGTTTAACAAATATAAGCATCACTTTGGCAGAGACTTTGTATCACAGTGTTACAAACGAAACAGCTCCAAGTGGAGATGTAAATCGTATCGAACATATTATCTCGGAAATGTTGTCTTGTTATTTAGAAAGTGCAAAATGTAATCTATTTCATGCAGCATCGTCACCAGGAACCAAATTGGCCGATCAAATTTTACCTTTGTACGTTAGTGTACATAGAGTACCTAACACCGTTACAATTTTAACTGGTCAACTTTTTGCTCTGTTAACTGGCGACAAATTAGATATGAATGAAACAGAGTGTTACGAGCATCATTACGCATGGATGGGTGGTTATGATTTAACAGGAATTTGTATAAATTCAACAGTAAATTATAGTATAGCTTTAAGTCCAGCATTCATCATCCATAGTACGTACTTTCATTTCATTTAATAAACAAATATACAATAATAATAATAAATGATTTGTATTTAATACAGATTACGATATGAAATCTGGGATATTTTCAACATGGACAGAATCTATCTGGCAAATGTTAAGTGTCAGAATGTTTTTAAAACCTTCAGCAGCAACTGAACGACTTAGCATGATTCTTGGCAGTATTGTGACTAGCACATCATTTATCTTAGTATGGTTTATTAATTCCAAGGCTGATATATTATTTAATTCCAGGTGATAAAACAATGTATGTTAATTTTAAAAATTGCATTATACGTTTGTTAAAATATCAAAACTAACGAAGAGTTTCATTTTATAGGAGAGCTGTTGATTGCTAGGGATACGCTGCGGACCACATATCAATGACCAGGTTAGATCATCAAAGAGATGATGTTCCCGTAACAAGCCTTTAAACATTATATGTGTGGTACGCCCTCGGACAATTTATTTTATTTTTTTTTTAAGTCTTTATCAAAAGAAAATTAAGGGTTTCACCTCACTAAAAAAAGAAAAAAAAAACATTGGAATGAGATGAGATGAGATGAGATGATTTAAGAGTGAAATCTTTTTTCAAGAATATTTTTATGAAAAATAATGTCTAACGCGTTTTTTTTTTTCTTTGCAAATTATTTGACAAGCATTCATTTTGATTATGTTATTGTTTAGTCTAAGGGGATCGGCAACCTGCGGCTCGCGAGCCACACGCAGCTCTCTGCGCTCATTTTAAAAATCGTTGAGGATTAGGCACCGATAAATAATTAGATTAGTTTTTTTTTTTTTTTTTAATCAACAAACGTTATTTATACGAGTAATTATTTATTATTGGTAAGAACAAATTGTGGTGTAGCTCTTTAAAAATTTTGAAATTTAGTAAATTGTAATGGCTCTTCCAACTCAAAAGAGGCTCTGCCGATCCCCGCTGATTTAAGTCAATGAATTACTTTGACAAATGAATGCAATCATATTTGTAATAATTTAAAAGAAACATCTTTTTGATTATAATATTCCCTTGCTTATAAAGATTTTTTTGTTATTAATAACTTTTACAAAAAAAAAAATCACATTACGGATAATTCATTTACTTAATCGGTGATCAGTTAATAATAACAATTTCTAACATTCATTTCTTATTTCTCTTTTTTTTTTTTTTTTGGTTTTTATATTTAATATATTTAATATTGCATTTATTTGCATAGGATATTGATTATACTTATTATATATATATATATATATATATATATATTTACATAGGACATAAATTATTTAATAATTAAATTTATTATAATATACTTTCCTCTGTAGATTTGTCGTCTTCTGTAACGTTCATATAAATGAAATCTTGCATCGGTTATATTAAAAGAATGCAATTTAGTTGAAGAAAAGGGGGACAGGTGGGGGAGGAGGAGGAGGAGGGGGGGTCTGGTCTTTTGTGTACAACACCTTCTTTTCATGTAGTACAATTTGAAAAATACTTATATATATATATAAAAAATTAGAATTGAATAGAACAATGTATTTTTTACATAGAAGAAGAAGAAGAAGAAGAAAAAAGAAGAAGAGAGAATTTGTGAATTATCAAAATCAATTTTACTAAAAAGAAACGAAAGAAGAAAACAAAATAAAAATCAAATATTTTGTAGTATATAAATATGAGAATGATTAAAAATAAAAATATAATATCGACATAATGGTACCTTTAAAAAAACCCTTAAAGTGTACACTTGGTAAAAGTTAATTAAAGTGCACCACTGTGGATGTTTGACAACCCCAACACGTGTTCCTGAAGCTGCTATTTAATATTTAAATCTCGTAATTGTTTTTTTAAAAAATAGAATAGATTTTATATACCCATTTGAATGAACACTAGATGGCATTAGACAAATAATTGATTTTTTTTTTTTTTTGAATTCAGTATCGTTTTCGAGAAATTCAAAATTTGTTGGGGGTGTCCAACACCCCATGTGCAATTTAAGGGTTAAAAAAAAGGAAAATTCAATATATAATTATACACAGCTACATACATACACACATACACTCAGAAGAGAGAGAGAGAGAGAGAGAGAGAGACATACAAATACGCGTAATATGTTTTAATTAAAGAATGGGGTTGGGTGGGGTGGGGGTGGAAGTCGGGGGGTAAGTAAAGAATTAGACAAGACACACGAGGACAATTATATGAACAAAATTTATGCAGAAATTGATTATTAATATCATATTTTCAAATATATCGTCGTACGCTCATCAATTACTTGGCATTTAATAATTGTGAAAAAGCCAAATGTGTGGTTAATTAATAAAACGGAAAGAAGAAGAAGAAGAAGAAGAAGATGAAGAAGAAGATGAAGAAGAAGAACTTGATCGTAAATTTAATCCTTAATCTCTACAATTATATTTATAATTTATATTTATATTTTTATTCTTTATTCATTTTTTTTTTAAGTTTACTACACTAAAATATGTAGCCAGAATTTTTATTATTTGTTTTACAAAACGTTGTTGTTGTTTTTTTTTTTTGTTATTTTATTATATTATTTATTGATGATATTAACAAATATGACCAGCGAAGAGAGACTTATCGGTACGACAAAGATGGAAAAAGTTTTTTTTTCTTTTTCTTTTTTTTTTTCTTGTATTTTGCAAGCGTGATGGCATTTTTTATTATCAATAAACAATATTATTTAACAGGGCCCTTGTTTTTTTTTTTTTTTGATGTACATGAGAGAGAAGTATTCGTTTTTTTTTTGTGAGCGTTTTTTTTTTTTATATATATATATATAATGCTTCTTAATAGGCATTTTTTATTTTTTTTTTTTATTTATTTTTTAAGTTATGTTAATATACGTATAGTTTTTGACGTTTGAGAAAATTTGGCGGAAGTTAGGAATGGACCTGTGACCTTTTATTTTTTTTTTCTTCTTTTTTTCCTTTCTATTTCTTCATTTGTGCAAATAATATTCTTTTAATTAATTTTAATGAAAAGTATTCTTTTTTTTTTCTTTTTTTTTTTTACTTTTTAAATAAAACATTTAATAGAATAAAAAGGAAGAAAGATGTAACATTTTAAAGTAACAAATTATTAATAATAATAATAATAATAATATAATTTTTTTTTTTTTAATAATTTCACAAACAACAAAGAGTAATAATATAAGAGTAAATAACATTTTTTTCTTTAAACATCAACAAATATTCAAAAAAAAATAAATAAAATAAAATAAAATGACATTTCAAACTATTCGCAATAAAAAAAAAAAAAAAGAAAACCATTTGACGATAAGAAGACTATGGAATAACCAAATGTGTGTTCTGGGTCCATTCCTATCTTACATATTTAATGTAATTCACACGTAGGACTTTGCACATTACATGATAATCAATAACCAACGTGCAGAGAGAGAGAGAGAGAGAGAGAGAGAGAAAGAGAAAGAGAGAGAGACGTGGGTAATGAGGCTTACTTCATTTTTTTGTCAGTTCATATGCACATGCGAACAATTTCTTTTCTTTTGTCTCTCTACGCACATATATATCTATATATATATATATCTCAAGGACGAAAAAGTATTTTTATTTTCGGTTACAATAGAAAAAACATGCCAAGTGCATACAAAAATTATGGGGGTTTTTTTTTTTATTATTATTATTTATTATTATTATTCATGTGCATATGGACTATTCGTTTTTAATTATTATTATTATTATTATTAATAATTAATAATATTATTATTATAATTATTATTATTATGTAAACGTTTCTTATGTTTTTCCTCTCTTTTTTTTTTTTTTTTCAATTTCAATTTCAATTTCTTACGCAAAGAGACGCACGACGCACGGGCACACAACAGTTTACAACAAACCTCTTTTGATACCCGGATAAAGGAATTTCATTATTTTTCTTCTTCTTCTTCTCCTCCCTCCCTTTCTACCCCTCCCCCTCTCCCTCCCCCACTTGTTTGTTTTTAAGTATTTTTCATAGCTTTTTTTTTTTAGTATACAAGTATGAAGTAGGAGGCTGGGCACCGCCCACCGAGTTTATCACAGTCGTCTGGTGCCGCAGCACATACGTATACGTGGTTCAGCCTTACAACCTACCCTCTTAATATCTAAACATTATAATCTGAATTGTAATTAATTAATTTTTTTTTTTTTTAAAACAGTATAGTTCCGTACAAGGTAGTTGTATATGTTACATAATTAAAGCAATCATTTTTTTACCTTTTTTTTTTTTTTAGTCTCTTTTTTTTCATGCTATCTCATCAACTCTCAGTAGCATACGTGTATTATATTATTGCTGTCATTTAGAAATACATACAGCGGTTTAACTAGATACCTCTATGTATCTGTTTTTTTTTTTTTTTTTTTTTTTCCCCCAAAGAAAATACAAAATGCAAAGAATTTGGTTTACATTTGACAAAAGTTTAGTAGAAATAATAGTACAAATATGTTTATAATCGAAACAAATTGAACTCTTTCGTACGAAGTGTCGGCTGTCGGATGTATCCGGCGCTCGTACGTACAAAATTATCACGCTAGATGTCGGATATATACGACACTCGAAATGAAAAGGTTAAAACGTACATCAATTTATCAATTAATAGTTTACTACATGCTCTACCTCCTCATCATTCTCAGCAGCATGCTTGGTATTAATTATTACTGTCATTTAAAAACATGGCCTAACTAGATATCTCTATGTATTTTTTTTTCCCCAAAAAAAATACAATATGCAAAATATTTTGTTTACATTTGACAAAAGCTTAGTAGAAATAACAGTACAAATATGTTTAATCGAAACAAATTGAACCCTTTTATCTCAAGTGTCGGTTGCCGGATGTATCCGGCGTTCGTACGTACAAAGTTATCACGTTAGATGCCGGATATATACGGCACTCGAAGTGAAAAGTAGTTAAAACGTACATCAATTTATCAATTAATAATTTCATTCGTATTTCTAGTTAAACCACCGTTGTTCTTCTATAGTTTTCACACATCATCGTCACAAACAACTTTCCACGATTTTACATAGTTTTATTTTTATTTTTTTTAATTATTATTATGTTAATATTTAATTATTCTTTCGACTACCACATATATGGAGCTATACTGTCAGCTGTCTTCAACTGATAATAGCGTTTTACTGGACATTTTTTTGTTTGTTTTTTTTTTTTTTTTATTAAATTGTACAATATTGTTAGCACACATCTGTTATTATTATTTTTGTTGTTGTTGTTGTTGGTTGTATCTCCTCTTTCATCATCAGTGTTTTTATAATAATACATTGCACAAAAATTTGTCAATCGAAGTTATTAATTAGTGTGAAAAATCTGTTTCTTTTTTTCTTTCTTTTTTTTTTTTCCTAATAGATTTTAATCTCTTCAAAGTACACACTTTTATTACTTTTTTTTTTTTCTTTTTAAAATACACTGAAGGGTATAATTTATAAATTACTAATGGAAGCACTCTGTAAATCTACTATGTACATTAAAGCATAAGGAAGTACTCAAGACTTTAGGTTTTCTTTCTTTCTTTCTTTCTTTCTTTCTTTCTTTCTTCAGGCTTTTTTTATAATGTAACTTTAATTAACTGTGTACAAGTGGATGATAATAAGTAAAGTCCGATATTTAGAACCCCTTTTTGTTTTGTTTTGTAGTAGTTTATTTTTTTCTTCCCTCCGGACGAAAAGCGTCAACTATTCTTCCGCTGTTCAAAACGTTCAAAAAAGTTGCCACTTTTCACCTACGTCGAGCAGAAAAAATGTCTACTCATCATGGACAGAAAATAAGAAGACAGCCTCAGAGCACATGTTTGTTGTGACTCTGTTCTCAGATACAGTCATCTTCTGTTTCTCAATTACATATACTCTGAGACATTTCTTACTTTATCCTCTCCCTAGATGAGTAATATACTATTTTTTTTTTTTTTTCTTAGACAACTGACTAGTGTTGTGTGATTACGTGTAAGCTTTGTGTGTGTGTGGGTATGTAGCTGTTAATATCGTGCAGTTATTTATTTTAAACAAAATGAAACAAATAACAAAATGTGATAATCATAGAGGAATGGAAGAAAGAAGTTATTTCATTTCATTAGTAAATACTTTTCATCGTTATATGTTACATATATGTTTATCATTGAAATGATTTAAGAAGAAAATATGGTATTTGTAGTAAATGTATAATATAAACATGTGGATCGATGGACGGAACGTCAGAAGAGATTAATTACGTTGGAACTAGTTTGTTTTTGTTTTTTTGTTTTTTTTTTTTTTGTAATGAAAAAATAAAAAATAAAATTTCTAACGCTCTGTTGTTGTTGTTATTGTTGTTGTGTGTGTTACCACCAGTAAATATATAAATAAATAATTTCACGTAAAACGTAATGATCATGTGTAGACAGCAAAAGTACAGGATTACTTATTTACTTATATTCTACAAATGGCATGTGGGTGTCGTCGTTCGTTCACTTAAGAGGACGATTTGTTTTCACATTTAAAAACAAAACAATTTCGTTCATTTCTTTCTTACTTTTCTTTTTTTTTAGATAGATAGATAGATAGATATATAGATAGATAGATAGATAGATAGATAATAATAATAATTTGTTTTCTTCAGTTTCCTTTCTTTCTTTCTTTCTTTTTTGTTTGTTTGTTTGTATCCTTAATAACAGTTCCATAATCATATGTACAGTAATTACCGTGTCTTATAATAAATTGACGGTAGAGTTGCACAAAGACGACACTTAGAGTTTAAAAATATAATCATCATATTTTAAGTATTATTATTATTATTATAATATTATCATCGTGTTACTAATAGGTCGTATTATTATTATTATTATTATTATTATAATTATAATTATTATTATAATTAATAGTACTATATTACTATCCTCATCATCATCATCATCATTTTCGTTATTGTTATTAATTATTATAATTATTATTATTATTATTAATATTTATTGTTTAACTTGGAGGGACAGCACTTTGCTATGTCACGACACTGCAGAGCTGAGAATTAAAGATTGTGGAAGTTACCACGCTCCTTTTTTGATGGCACGGAAAACAATGATTTTGTTTGTTTTGTTTGTTTCATAAACTTACAACAGATTATTTGTTTATTTATTATTATTATTTTAATTTATATACTGTACGAGCTGAACAACTTAGTAATTTGCGGCAAATATATTTAATTAGACCACTAGCGAATGTCGTGTACTACAAATGATGAAAGTTTATTTAATAATTGCACCAATTGAAAATCAAAATTTAATCTTTTCATCCTTCTCTCTTTAGTCCTTTTTTTTTTTTTTTATCTTTTAAAAAGCTGATTTGAAATATATGCCGATGATAAATGAAAAATTAAATGTTTGTTTTCTTTTTTTCTTTTTTTTTTTTTTTACTCTCGTTCAGACACTGCCCTTTTAATCTTTTTCTTATTCTTTGTTTTGTTTTCTTTGTTTGTTTGTTTTGTTAATTATTCTCTCTTTATTTTTTTTTTTTTTTTCATCTGCAATTACATGTTCAATTTTTTACATTTTCTTTGGGTTAATTATTATAGATTTTAAATCCAGGAAAAGCAATTTTTCTTTATAGTATAAAAATATAAAAACGCTAGTATTATTATGGCATATTTCGCAAATCTGTAGATGTTGATAGTTGTTGTTNTTTTTTTTTTTTTTATCTTTTAAAAAGCTGATTTGAAATATATGCCGATGATAAATGAAAAATTAAATGTTTGTTTTCTTTTTTTTTTTTTTTTTTTATCATACGTAGAGATTAGAAAACATGATAAAATTTCAAGTTATTACCTCGTAACTTTACAAAGAATATATTATTACCTTTTTTTCTTCTCTTCTTTTCTTTTCTTTCTTTATTTTTTTTTTTTTTTATTATTCTTATTATTATTACTTTTTTTCCTTTGTTTGTTGTTGTTTTTTGTTGGAGGAAAAGCAATTTTTCTTTATAGTATAAAAATATAAAAACGCTAGTATTATTATGGCATATTTCGCAAATCTGTAGATGTTGATAGTTGTTGTTGTTGTTGTTGTTGTTGTTCTTAGTGAAAATTATTAGATAATTTTAAATTGAAATTACACAATAAATAACAACCCCCAGAAAAAAAAAAATAAAAATTGTATACGAATATATTAGACAGATTTTCAATACGTAATTCTGTTTTTTTTTTTTCTTTTTTGTTTAATCTATCGTCTGCATACAAGTGTAAAATTAAACAGTGTGCACAATATATTTTTCAAAAACAAACAAACATTTTGTCTCACAAACTGGCAGCAGACTTTTCAACAAAATTTGTAAAACAAAAAACACAAACAAATATATTAATCGTAGTTTTTTTTTTCTTCTTTTTTTTTTTTTCTTCTTTTTTGGAAGTAATTACTATTTTATATTGCAAATATAGAATTGATGTAATAAATCAAACGACTCTATTAGTAATAACAAAAAAAAAACAAATACTACAAATAATTTAACTCTTATATTACTAATTTACCACAAAGTGAACTTGAAAGGGAGACATTTATCAAAGTCAATCCAAAAATTGCATAAAAGAAGAAGACTATGATTTTTCATTATGATATTTTGAAAAAGGAAAGCATCAAATATTCATTTTGTTTCATTAATTATCATAGAAACACATTGAATCTGGGGTAAATGAGTGGAGGATTTGTATGAATGAATATCATTCTTCATCATCATATTAATGAATAATAGAATCATATAATCAATTTTCAATGATATTTGTTTCTTCTAATAATAATAATAAAGGAAGATACAAGTTGGAGCCCAGAGAAACGCATAGGTTGAGACAATAAGAAGAACAGTTGAAAGAGACAGAGATAGATAGAGATATATATATATAGAGAGAGAGAGCGTGATAACCTCTACTCATGTACCCTTGGTTGCCGTGAGAATGATTACGTATTTAACAGTTAAAGCGAAATCTATCCTCGAATACCTTAATACTGTAATAAGCAACTGGATTTGAAGGTACCTTAAAGAGGTTATGGTTGACATATCATTAATGATCGACAGAGGTCAGTGAAGATCATCTTCATCGCTATCATTACCGTCTTTTGATCTATCGGCACCTCCTTCACCATCGCTAGAACCTGAATCACTTCCTGATTCTTCAGACTGCCAACCACCACCACCACCGCCACCACCACCACCACCTCCACTACCAGCTTGTTGCTGTTGGATTTGTTGTTGCTGTACCGCATGTTTAGATACTTTATGACGTTTTCCAACACGGGACACAGCTTCAGCACCAGCACCATCAAGCATTGGTTGTAAAATTCGTCTGCGCGCATTTATAAACCAATTATTAACTTGTAGCAATGTTAGATTCGTTTGACTCGCTATTTGTCGTTTCTCGTCTTCCGTTGGATAAGGATGCTGAAACATATAAGATTGTTTTTTTGTTTAATTAGATTATTCATTATTATTGAAGGTCTCATATTTATTAATTACTTACAACTATATGTGCAAAGAGCCATGTTCGCATGATACTGGTCGCTTGTTTAGGTAGAACACCACGCTTCTGTCTTCCCTTTTTAACATTTCCATGATTACTACCATGAATACTACCATGATTTGAGGTAACAGTACCGGTGCCGCATTCTTCTTCATCTTCGCTTGGAGCTGGGGAAGGTGGTGATCCTGCAACAATAATATCTACAAACAATTTATTAATATGACTTATACAAAATTCATTTATATTCAGATGATAATAATTATTATATTCATTGTGCTATGCCCAGTATTTTTTTTTTTTTATTCAAATCTTAAACAATCAAGGATTCCCGATAAAAATTCAAGATATTTAATAATGTCTAACCAAAATACTTTTCGTCATTAGCATCTCCAACATCCACATATTCGGTTTCCCGTTCTTGTAGTGCTAGAAGACCCCAGTATCCAACTTCTTCTAAATATATTCTGTCAGCAGTATTTACATAGTCGATATCATCTATAAACGTTAATTTATAATTTGTTTTTCTCAACTTCAATGAAAACTAACTTAATTACGTTATTTTACAATCAACATTAACCCTTTCGCAGTCCAGTACGCCACGAAGTGTCGTCACCGTACGGAAATATACGCGGATGCCGGATATATCCGACGGCCGAAGCGAAAGGGTTAAAAATTACGGGCCAATGAACGTGTGTGTGTGTGTGTGTGTTGTTAGAACAAATACAATTAAATATAATGAACAATGTATGAAAGACTTAATATAAAGCAACAAATTAGTAGACTAACCTTGACCAAGATACATATCATTAGCAGGAGTACAAGGATGAGCACCGATTTGAGAAAGTGGTGTACTTCCATGTACCGTAGAAGGTGATACCGGTTCATCATGGTCTTGACTGTTAGATCTGACCGAACATTGGTTGGTAGACGTCGATTGAACCGAGGAAGGTCTGTCATTTCCAATGTCCTCTTGTACGGCAACTTGGTTTGCACCAACGTTTTCCAATAGCAGATCCCCTCTGCTTACTCTGAATCCGTTAGCTCCCGACTCAACATCATTGCCTGTAGATGACAGCACCTGGCAAATATATGTCGCAACTAGCCGTCAGAGAGCAGGGCGGGGTTCTATTATATTCTAAGGGATGTACGTGTATTCTTATTTATATTTAATATTAATTAATAAATACGTAAAAAAACAATGTTGGATACTAATTTGTTAGTAGAAAGAGAGATCACATTGAAATGATTGTCTGTGAAATACACACACACACACAGAGATTTGAATATTACGGTTAATACTCGTACACCCCTAATTGTAAGGATATCTACTAAGGTAAGGGAACAGGCAAGGGTGCCCTGAGCATAGTGAAAACATCTAACCTGCAATGGACTGCTGCCATTGCTGCCACTGGACGGACCCATGTCGTGTCCATGGTGACTGTAGTCGCTGCGTAATAAATTTTCGCTCTGCATCTTGCCTTTTAGGCACGTTATATATCTGTTGCAGAAGTCTTTGCACAACTCCTGTACCTTTTCCAATTCCAGGAGATGAATTCGCAGCACTTGTATCGCCTTGATCATCTACAATCGTATTTTTATATATTTAAAACAAAACACATTTACTTAAACAGTTATTCATTTATTTATGTTACCTAATGTGCATCGAGATACACATGAATCCTTTAATTCATTAGACTAATTGATTGACTCCCATAAAAACAAAAACTAGGGATATGATATGAAATTGCATACAATCATCTTAAAATGTTGTCATAGAAAATTGGATTATTTAATGGATTAGCAACTAAAAGCCACCTATCGATAAAATCCACAATCATTTATTTGCAAACCCAATAGTTGTACTTTTAGATTGAAATAAATTCTATAATCGGAGTCAATCGTGTTGGCCAATGAATGTGGTATTTTTGTTTATCTGAATGAACGTACCAAACCATCAATTTCTGGGTCATTGATTAAAAAAGGTTTTCGGTCTCTTTCTTGATGCTGCACAAATGCCTGTATGTCCATGTTGAAGCTCTCGGATGTCGAGTTGTCCGAACTCTGAGTCGCTTGTTCGCATCTTTCAAAGAGTAACGCGAGAAGGGGGAATAGGGGATGCTTATATACGGCCCTTTTATCAGCTTCGAATTGGGCCTGGTCCTGATGGGTCGTATAATCGGCAACCCCACTCGCAGGGTCCTGATCATAACCAGGAGTCACCATCGCTAGCGCCACGGCGGTGCTACCCTCTTGCATTCTATCATTCCTCCCTAATACTCTCCATCCTTGGTTTTTATTCTTCTTGGTTGATAAATTTGAGAACTGCGAGTTTATCTCGCATCAAACAATCACATCCTGCAAAAGAAAAGGATAATCAAAAAATGATCAAGAGAGAGATGATGTCATTAAGTTTATATATCTACATGTTACATTTTATTTAATGACAAATAATAATGTAATATATATGTGATGATATAGTATATTGTTGTAAAGTTCTTCTTATGTATTATAAAACTTCTTAATATACGTTTAATCAGTCTAAGTATAAAGGATAAAGGAAAATTGAAGTAGGATCGTTAATTTGAGTGCGACATAAACTCGCACGATCCTTCGTGCAAAAGTGGAAGAAGAAGAAGAAGAAGAAGAAGAAGCGGCTGGTGGTAGAGAGAAAGTGGGTGGAGGGGTGGAGTTGGAGGTGGAAGTGGAGGTCGAGAAGAAGTGGTAGAATATAAAGGTGGGTAGAAAGAGAAGGCATATATATATATATGTATGGATGTGTAAGAGAGAGAAAAAGAAAGAAAGAGAGAGAGTGAGTGAGTGAGTGAGTGAGTGAGTGAGTGAGGTCGTCGTGGTATGAAGAACCGAACGATGCGGCACTGCATTTAAATGTCATCATTAGACGGCTTCAGCGCCATCAGCAGCACTGCCACCGACACCAGGGCTCCAAAGGCTTTCATTCCGAACGTCCCTTTTGAATTTTCTTCAAATTCCCCCAACCCCCTTTGTAGACAACGTTTTGGCATGAATAAATAAAGTACTCCCCTCTCTCTCTCCTCCTCCTCTCTCTTCTCTGTGGTGTGGTAAGATTCAGTTCGGTTGGGTTTGGTGCCGCTATCGATACTGCTGCAAAAAGTCAAACTAGCAAGAAGAGAGTATCTTCTCAATCCTTTAAACTTAGCAGATTGGATATTGGAATTCTGATTGAGTCTGAAAGATCTTTGGAACGATGCCGATTTTCTTTTTCTTCTTCTTCTTCTTCTTCAACTTCTTTTTATCAAACTATTTTCTTTTACTTATAAATATTTCATATATATATATATATATATATATATGGAAGTTTTAATATTTAAATATTATTCACACCCCAAGTGGAATCTCAATAACTATCAAATATCTCTGCTATTTTTTTTTAGTCCTATTGATAAATGTTTACAATATCTTAAGAATTGTAATCTAATGTTGTTCAAAATTTCCTTTCTTTCAAGATCATTTGTTTATATAATTTTGAAATTAATAATGAAGATATTAAAAATAGTAACCAGTTATTAAACCGCCACCCGTTATATTATTATAAATTATATAAAATACGTACTACGTATTTTTCAATTAGTTAATCGAAAGAGAAGAGAATAGTAATAATTAAATTAGCCAATAATCAAGAAAATACTTTCAAATTTCGCGCGTTTAACACATTGTCCCCCTCCCCCAAGCTATTCACAAATGGTCGATCTTAATTTGCACGGCGGGAAAATTTCATTTAAATTTCAAACTAAGCTCGTGTAACAATTAAAAAATAATTTCCTTGAGTACCCACCAAAGTAAGAGAAGAAAAAGTATATGAAAAGGAAATAAGAGAAAACAAAAGGTTTTCTCGGCTAAGAAAAAAATATCAAGAAAGAAATGAAAAAAGAAAGTAGAAGAGAAAAAAGAAAAAAGGATTTGATTGGGAGTCTGATTGGGAATAGGACACACGTTGAGTGTCGAAAGCACAGGGGGCGCCATTACTTGCAAGTGGTGCTTCTTCTTCCCACCCCCCTTTTCTCATTCCTATCACCACCAACCCCCAACCACCAGCTACCCCAACTGCATTTCCTATATCTCTCTGGAGACCACACGATTCTTTCCGTTAAAGTACCAATATTTATCGTCCCCGCTGTCGCCACGCTGTGGTTTTCATTTAAAAATATTATCGCTGACGGTGAAAACGGTACCGGTGGCAGGGATTGTTTCCACGTGACACTCTTTTATGAAATTTATTTCCTTCCCAGGCCATTTCCTTATCTATTTTTCTTCCTCTTTTATTTTTTCTATTGTATTCTAAAAAAAAAAAAATAACGTTGATAAAAATTATTACTAGATGTTAGGGAGAATTTTTAAATACATGTCATTTATAAATATTCCCCCTTCTTTCAAGTACTTCTACCTACTACACACTATATACTTTGGCTTAAAGAAAAAAAAATATGTTAGGGGAAGTCACAAGTGGCTCACCAGACCTCTCGGTGTCTCTTCTTTTGTCACGTTTTTCTCGAGTACAGCTGTAGACGTTTAACACTAAACCTAACAACAGTTTATGTGTTTTCTTATTTAGAATTAAATTGGTCTTATCTATGTATAGTTCAATTTTTAATTTACTAATTCAAATTCGAATATTTTAGATTGGTTACAAATTTAAACATTTAAATTCGATCTTCTGATTGGTTGAGCAATTTAAAAATTTAAATTCAATCTTCTAATTGGTTACAAATTAAAACATTTAAATTCGATCATTTGATTGGTTAAAAATTTAACAATTTAAATTCGATCATTTGATTGGTTAACAAATTTTAAAGTTTCAATTCGATTAATCGATTTGATCGTGTTGTTACGTTTAGTGTTAAATAAGACAGAACAACAACATGAGCAAAGTTCACGTTTAATCGCGTTCATTTTTTTTTACGAATAATTACAATGACGTAATTATTAGCAGATAAGAATAAATGATTTATTATTTAGTAATAATATTTTCTATCGAAAATTATTATTCTCGTGGTATTTGCAGTGACGTATTCGCGCATAAAAAATGCTAAGTGGTTTATAACCTCTACCAAAGTATATACATATATGTAAATTATTTCAATTTATTATTATGATGCACCTTTTAATATCACTGTGATTATATTTGTGACCAGAAATTCACTAGGACTATAGTGTCTTTTCAAATATTCCAAGCAACTTTTGTACGTCCCTTATTTTAATCCTTTGAACACGTGCATAGTGTATTTTAAAGTTCACCTTTCCCTTCACCTTTAGTTTAAGTAACTAGGACTATTGTCAAGTGAAAAAAAAAAAATTTACTGCGTTATAAAAGACAATTGTCGTAAATGGATTTCACTAGCCAACCGTTTGTTTACTATCGTGTTAGTGTACTAACAGAAAATAAATGCATACGAGGAAGCACAGGATAAAGTGTTGTGTAGGTGTTAAAACACGCCCCACGTTTGACTAACGAGCATTACCTGTTTCTATTCCCCCCCCCCCACCCACCCTTTCACCCTTGTTTTACCTAACTTTCCCCCTTACCCTTTCTTCCCTTTCATACCCAATTCTCTACCTTGACATATGATCCGTCTGTCAGTCGGGTATTTTCGATAAACGACAAGTTCAAAGCATTGGATCACCCTGAAATTTGTCACTTTTCTACTTAACCAATATCCGATTGGAATACAAATGCAATGGCGTAGACTTCTCTGTACTTTTTTTTCTTCTACTTTTTCTTTTTTCTATTATCTTCTACTTTTTTTAAAGGTGGGGAAAAAAATAGAATAGTATGGTAATTTTTATGAGAAAAAAAAGATGGTGTAACAAAAAGTAACAGAGAGGGTAGCGTTACTGCTATTGCCGTCACTGTCTCTGCGAATGATCAGGACCGTAATAACTAATCAAATTAATTGGGTGCAAATAATAAATAAATAAATAAATAAATAAATAAATAAATAAATAAATAAATAAATAAATAAAAAATTGTAAATATCGATAGATAATTTAATACCATAGAAAATAATAGTATCATTTGAATCTAAATTCTGTTCAAAATTAATATTAATATTTGTTACAGAAATGATTAACTGATTGAGATGATATCATCAGATAGAAATTAACTTTATCTCTAATCTAATTTCATTATTCATAATTGATTTATAATCGAAATTACGATTAAATTTATTTACAATTTTTAATGATTTTTGAAAATATATATATGTATTGTTCTTGAAATAATTTCTTCTTAATTCTTCAACGCTTATGGCGTTTTCTTTCACCACGAAGAGACAGATAATCGTAACAACGGTTCATTACACTGATTGTCCTCACAATACAGTTCGTCACGATACGCGAGTACTATGTGCGCATGTTATCATCGATATTAACGCCCGTCTCTTAATATCTCATGTTACATATACACACACATATACACATATGTATGTATATATGCTAAATATAAATAACTATATGTATACGGTGTATATTTACGAACGTACGATTAAAACTATTTGCTCTCATCAAAATGTAGCAATTAATATAAACGTGATCAAAGGTAAATGTTAAATACATATATATATATATATGTGTGTGTATGTATATATAAACATATTTTACATTTTTTCGATTGCGTCACATGTGACATGAATATATTTCGATATATTTTCCCCTTTCTCTCTTTCTCGCTCTCTCTCTCTCTCTCTGATCTTTGATCTTTGAATAAAATAATTCAATTAAATATTATCAACGTCATATACGAAACAACAAAGAACAAAACAGTATTGATCATTTTTTTTTTAGTTTTTTAATCAATGCATTCTCACGTATTCAATTTTCCTCTTACGTAGATGATTTTATTCTGAATTATTGTGTTTCCAGAAATAAAAAAAAAAACAAACAAGGCTAACATTACGATTGAAGTTATAAGAAATAGAAAAAAGAAATACTTGTAATTAATGTCCACACATCGTCAATATAAGTGGTAATTATATTGAAATAATGTAATTATTGCATTGATGTAACTTTTAAAATAAAGAAAAAATGTAATTCGAGATTTAAAATGCATAATCGATATAGGATTAGAATCGATTACGATAACTGTGATTATTCGATATTATTACCATGGTTTTGTTAATTATCCCTAAGAAAAGGAACTAGACCGAAGTCCTTGTTTTAAACAGAGGAATGGACCAGAATTGAAATTTAACTATATATATATATATGGACTACTTCGTTCAAAAAATCGATTGATTTCAATAAAAATATATTTCATAAATGAATAAATTTAAATGAAATTACAACAACAACAATAATAATAATAATAATAATAAAGAAAGAAATACATTATTTATTTTTATAAATATTAAAACAAATGAATGTAATTTATCGTAAATAAAAGAGTGAGGTTATATGTGGTGTGCAACATTTGGTAATAATAATAAAAAGAATAATTTATAATTACAAAAAATAATGTATGAACTGAAATGAATCAATTGAACGATTGAATGGTTCATATATTATTATTATTATTATCATTAAATCGAACATCGAGAAGGATTGGAGAATAAATGCGATGATATCGATCGCATCAATCCGCGGATTCTGTCAAGCAGCAGCAGCAGCAGCAGCAGCAGTAGCAGCAGCAGGCCGCGCGCTGGACTTCGAGAAATGGGCGTTCACTTTTGCCACGGCAATGCGCATACAAAAATGAGGATTTTTTTTGGGTCCCTTTTTTTTTTTTTCTTCTTCTTTAATATTAACGCAAGTGGTATGAGACAAGCACGTACGCACGCACACACGCACGCACGCACGCACCATTCCTGGTGTTGTGAAGGAAGGATATGAAAAATACGAACGGAAGGAACGAAGGAATAAAACGAACCTAACCTCTAACACACAACTACACTACTACTACCTACAACACAACTAACCACCACATTTTAAATACTCAATATTAAAGTGTTCTGTCGAAACAGACAGACAGACAGACAGACAGACAGACAGACAGAGATAGACAGACAGACAGTCAATGCTAATTATTCTAAGAAAAAATATAATCACTAAGAAATGAAATGACATGTTTTTGTTTTCAATTCAATCATTTCATTTAAATAATCAACAGTAATGGTCAAATGTATTTAGAAATATTCAAATATTATTCTTTAAACGTTTTATACTTTGAACACATTATCTCTCTCTCTCTCTCTCTTTCACTCTTTTTTTCTCTTGTTCGTTCGTTCCTTTTTTCTTTCTTTTTTTTTTTTTTTTGTAACTTGCTTACCGTGATCAAAGTCTCCCAAAGCTGGTTTCTTGCACGGGTCACGCTGCACTTTCTGTTTTATCCTCTTCTTCTTCTTCTTCTTCTTCTTCTTCTTCCCTTCAATTCAACTCTTCCTTCGTCCCTCTATTACGAATGTATTATCTTCTCTCTCTCTCTCTCTCACTCACTCACTCTTAATGTGTTTATTTTCTCTTTTTAAAAAAGGGGATCACGCCGATTGGATTCGGCAAGTTGTTTCTTCTTCTTCGACGAACACTGCGACCACTTCTTTTCTTTCTTTCTTTTTTTTTGTGTTACTCTTTCTCTTTCTATCTCCCTTGTCGTCTGATTTTTGTTCCTCCTCCTCCTCCTCCTCCACCACCTCTTTTTATATACACATATACATATACATATAAATGTATTTTCTTTTTTCCACCTATCCTTTTCTGTCCACGTGTTAAAACAACAAGCACACTGACGTCCAATTGTCTTCTAACACCGGTTTAAATATTCCTAGTCTTGTTGGGATGATACCTAAGCGTTATGTTTACCAGCGTTCACCTCGATGATAAATTTAAGTAATCGGACATTTTTCATAGCGACCGTCGTACACCCCACCGTTCTCTCTACTCCACCATATCTCTCTCGGCTTTTGTGACGTCATCGATTCAATACTTTTCGCGAAGGTCCCTCGCGCGAGTGGAGCCCCCCGTAGTACATCATTTTACGGTCAGATGACGCCACCCGTTCTCCCCACTTAACCTCGAACCGGACGCCATTGTGCATCCCCTTAAAAACAGCGCCAAATTTGAATTTATAACTTTTATCAATACTTTCTTCTTTCTCTATCCAATTTTTGTTTATCTATTTATTTATTTATTAACGTTTAATGTTCGTTGTTATATTGTAAAAATGATTTAATTATTAAAATATGAATTTAATAAGATATCAATGAGATTAATTATCGATAGATAGGGGTTCTGTTATCTTTGTCAAATAATAGATAATACATTGGTCAAGTTTTGTTTTAATATTACTTTAGATATTTTCAAATTTATCAAATTAAATATACCCGTTGTTTATTGGGAAGAAAATTTGGATAAATTGTTAATGCGTTTGTAAAATGGCCTTACATTTATGCATTGTTGCAACATAATTGTTAAATAAAAAAAATCAAAATACTTTGAAGAGATTAGATAAAAGGTTTAATAGACGTTGGCATTAGATCGATACGATCAGAGAGATATTTTTTATTTTTTAATTAAAAAAAAAAAAAAAAAAAAAACAGCAATACCTTTTTAATGGCTGCTTATTTTGCTAGAATTAACGATGAATGTTTCAAGTTTTATAAATGGTGGATCGATGTAAGAAGAATTTCGTTGAATTGGTGACGTTACTTTGAACAGTCACTTTTAAGATTAATCAAAATCTCAACAATAATCTCGTTGTGTTCGTAGAAATATCAAGTGTGTGTGAATTACCAAAGATATTTGTTAATAATAATAATCGTGAAATAATCTGGAAAAGTTGAATTTTATCCATTCGTCTGATTTGTTTTTTTTTTGTTTTTGAATTTTTTTTTCGTTGTACTTTTTTCTTTTACCTGGCCATTCTCGATGAGTAATACCTTTGAACGATATCTTATCATTATTTTCTTATCAGAACGAGAATAGTCGAGTAGATAGAAACAGAATTTTTCATCTCAGTTGAAACTAGGTAGTTTTGCCGATTGTAAAAGAAGATTCCGCCGAAGTTTTCGGCTTGTGTTAGACGAAAACATGGATTCTCGAAAGATAATATTATTAATTTTTGTTTTATTCGTTGTTGTTAATTGTCAATTGGATTCTAAACAAATAAAAAGTGTTGTTAATTCAACGAATGTAAATGTTAACGAAAATCGGACTATTAATTCAAACAACGCATCTGTCGTTTTGGGAACAAATCTTCCGAGTTTGTGTACAATTTGTTCCTGCGCTTGTACGTCATTATTGTTTGTTTCGTTTTCTTTATTATATTTATTGTTTAATATTTATAATTATATTATAATTAATATCATTCTCTAATATATTAATAATATTCATTTGTAATTGCAAATTGTTCAAAATTGAATTAATCTACAAGTTTATTTATTTGATTATTTTTTTTTGATAATTAAAATATCTTTGAAATGATATTATTATTATTATTATATATTTAATATATTACGTTATATTATTAATAATTATTATTTATATTTAATAGCAAAATTAGTGAACTGCAGTGAACGAAATTTGACGAACACATTCGAGGTTGTACAATGGCCGAAAACATCGATCGATGAGATTACATTTATAAAAAATACATTGGTTCATATAAAACCATTTCCATCAGTCGTCATACAAAGATTGATACTTCGACAAAATCAGATTACGACGATAGATAATAGTGCTTTCAAAAATATAGTTAATCTAACCGAGCTTGATCTGAGTCATAATCAACTCATCACGGAAAATTTAAATCCTCATGTGTTCGAGGTATTATTTTATTTATTAGAAAAAATTGTGCGATGACAATTTTTAAAAAGAAAAGAAAAGAAAAGAAACAAAAAACAAATCCAAATTTTGTATAGAAAAAAATATATATATATATATTTGTAATTATTTTTATTTTCAGGGTAAATTTTCGCCGGAAGCTTACGAACCGTTAAATTTGAAATATTTAAATTTAGCTGCTAATTCGTTACACGCATTGAATCAGGATGTTTTTGAACATTTAGGATCCCTTAAAGTGTTGATACTTGCTAACAATCCTTTCAAAATGTTAGCAGGTCATACGACTTTAGCTATCAGTAGTCTACCATATTTGGAAGAACTTGATTTGAGTTATTGCGAATTGAATCAATTACCTGAATATATTTTTTATAAACCCAGGTAATTATTTTAATTAATAAACCCATTCATCATCGTTGTCCTCTATAGAATTATTATTAATATTATTATTATTATTATTATTATTATTATTATTATTATTATTATTATTATTATTATTATAGATACTTAGAGAAATTGCACTTGAATGGAAATCATTTTACCGAAATACCAAAAGCCTTGTCCATGGCGTCAGCTTTAGAAGTTTTGAATCTTGACGAAATTCCAATTGAAACATTGAACGAACATAATGGATTTCCTGAAATGAAAAATCTCAAAGAATTAAATATGTGTTGTATGCCAAATTTAATTGAAATTGGTAATGGTTCGTTCGGTAAATTATCGAGTTTGGAAATTCTTCATATACAAAATTGTCCGTTGTTGAAACACATCGATGGAAACGCTTTGACCAAGGTAAACAAATTTAACATTGTTTAAACAAAAAATTGAAATAATTGATCTTTCTTTGTGTCTATCATCAAAAGAAAAAGAAATCTTAAGATACAAATTAATCTATTAACTCTTTGACGTATCATTACGTCATTAAAATTGAGACAAAATTTAACTCAGTTTATTCTTTACTTTATTTCAAAGTACTAAATAATTTTTTTATTATTATAATTAATTAATATAATATTTAATATTAATTTAAAAGCAATTAAAATCATTGCCGATTCTAAAAAGCCACCTATCGACAAAATCTGCAACTTCTTTTTTGTTTGTTTACTTGCTAACCTAACAATATTTCAAATAAATGTGTACCCAAAAGTGTTCAAGTATAAAACTATATTACAAACGTATATTTGTTTTGTTTCCCATAAAGATATTTTACAAGTTAATATCTTATTTGTTATTGTTATTAGCGTGAACATGGAATGACCGTGTGGCCGCCTTTGAAGATTCTCGATTTATCGGATAACGCCCTACGATATTTACCGTCGCAACTCGTAGAAAGTTGGGACAAGCTCAAAGAATTGGATCTGATGAACAACGAATGGAGCTGCGATTGCGATAATCAATATCTGGTAAGTTCTGGCAATCACAGCAGTTCATACGCGCGCGCACTCACGCACCCACACACACACAGACACACACACACATTTTTCTCTCCATCCAGTATTTTTTTTTCTTTTTTTATTCTCTTCTTTTGCGAGGAGTACACATACATACACACACACACAAAATGGCAATATCCCTTTTCACGAAGAACTGATCACCATGATACCCCATCCCGTTTGTAACTTAACTCGATCATCGGCCACGTCTCATTCCGCGTTCATTGCTACCATCAATTGATATCTCGTTTCGAGCAAGAAAATAATGACCAAAATGGTTACCTTTAGATAAATAATACATCTTTTTTTTTCTTCTTCTTCTTTTATCGATAAAACGTTTTTACCGGGAATATTTCAGGTTCATTATTTTGGTTTGTTCAAAATACGTTAAACAAATAATTTACGTGACAAAATTTTGGTCACGTTTGTATTCGCGTCTGATTTACTTTTTCTACTCGCATAAGTTCCTTCATTTTGTTTTCTACTTATAATATTAATTATTTTTGTAACATACTGTACATTTAAACTTACATTTTATTGGTACCTGCAAATGGGACCCAAAATTTCATTGAATGTAAAGATTTTTCTTTTTTCTTTTTAATGTCTGTTCTTTTTAAGGTTAGGTTTGTTTGTTTGTTTGTTTCAGATTGGTACTTTGTTACCCAAACATGGAAAAAGATTGATGGGAGAGGAGGTTAACGAAATGAAATGCAGTAAAACGTCCGAATATGCAGAAGTAAATCTAACATCGTTGTCAAATACAAAATTGCCCTGTAATAGCAAAGTTGGTGTATTGCACATAGGAGTTGTTATTGGATTATTGTTCATTATTTTGATTAGTTTGGCAATAATTATTCTTTATCAACGTGGATATTTCGTGGCATGTTGCGGAAGAGGTGCAGCAACGTATTCACGTGCATTTTACAAACGCACATCTGCCGATTACGATATTTAAATAATATTTATAATTAATATATTAGGTCTATCGGAAAATTCTGTACGTTGAAACAAACGTTAGTTCAATTTTTCGTCACTAGGTGGTAAGGCCTCATTTCTTAAAATGGAGTATACAAATGGCTACCATATTGGCAAAAGTTCAAAAGTAATTCAATTAATTCATTGTTCAAATTAGAAACAATTTATTATTTTATTTTATTTAAAAAATGGACAGAATTTTCTGCTAGACTTAATATATATATACATTAATTATATCTAGTCTGTAAATCAACAAAATTTTAGGTTAGACGTGTTACTATTTTTTCTTTTTCTATTTTGACAAATTCGTTCTCACATCATTTCAAATAAATTAAATTTTTTTTGTCATTTATTATTAAATATCATATTGTTTTGTTTGTTAAAGTATTTAAGATTGGTTAAGAAAAAAATAATCATGTTCAAGTTTGCTAAATTTTATCTTTTGTTTTTTTCTTTCTCTTTTTTGAGTGATCAAAATTTTTAATCATCGCATCTCTCTCTCTCTCTTTCTTATTTTTATTTTTTAATCGTAGAATAATCTTTGTATATCGAATACTTTTTTTTAATAATAAAAACAAAGACAAGAACAATAAAAATAAATTCCTTTGTAAAATCAAATCTGACTCAAGTATTCTTCCCATTGGCGTAACGATCGTTTAAACATTGCAGATGAATTTTTATTGAGATTACATTTTCAGATGACTGTACAAATCCAATTCTTTGAAAGAAAACAAACACACACACACACACACACATACACACATATATACATTCACACAGATAACAACCCTTATTAATATGAGTCAAAATAACAACTGTAAAAAAGAAAAAAAAACATAAAAACGATTAATGACAATCATAAAGTAAAAAAGGCTTATTGGTTAGTATCATCAAGGACAATGCAAAATCTATATATATATATATATATAAGCGTGGCAAGGATACAAAGGACTATGGACGACGCGTGCCGGCATTTAGACATAGGTGGAAAGGGAGTAGTAGGGGAAACTTGCCCTTCCACAATTATTGAGTAAATTAACGTCACGTCATAGTAACTGCGTTACCGACGCGTGTCCGTTCGCGTCCGGCCACGTCCCTGTTGCTTTCTCTCTCTCTCTCTCTCTCTCTCTCTCTCTTTCTCTTTCACACACATTGATAAGATCCCTAGACGATGCACAATCCCTCCTGTATTCCTCTATCCATTCCCACCTTGGTTACCGTGGCCCAAAACCAACTTTCCTATGACTCAAATTACCTACCCTAAACATGGCCCCTTTTTTGTTTCATGTATTTTTTCATTAATTGCCGTTGATTCATTTTATTTTTTTTAAGACGACTTTCGCTTTCTTACATTGGATCGTTCGGATTTTTATTTAATGCAAATTGGCAAATAAAAACACGTGAGATCGATGTGAGGATTCAATTTATCAATTGCAACTGTTTATGACCACTTGATAGGCCTAAGTTTTAGGTTAGGAAGCACAAATTGTCATCAATTTTACAAAAGATAAACGAAATTACTTTCCGAACAATCCAATACCACTTCCTTTTTTTTTTATATCTGTCCATTTTTGTTTATTTTGATTTTATTTTTCTGTCACGTGTATGCATCCATCACACTCTCAACACACATATAAAAGCATTTGACGATGTTTTTCATCGTGAACGAGCTCCTGCTAACGTCCCGAGAGACTTGTTAAAGGGAAATACGACATTGTAGGACGATCCCACCAGAACCCAACAACTATTACTATGATGATGATGATGATGATGATGATGATGATGATGGGTTGCTACTGTTGTTGTTGTTGTTGTTGTAGCTCTAGCTAGCTGTGAATTTGGCAAGTTTTAATACGAAGCTTTTTTTTTTTTGAAGGGTCTTTTCTGATCGATCGTTTATCCCTGTTTAATTAGCGACATCATTTTTGTCGGTTCGTTAAGTACACGTTGATGTAGGTTCTTCCCCACTTTGTTGATATAGTAAAACAAGAACAAAAAAAAGGTTCAACGAGTATGATAAACTATTGGGTTGTTCAGAAAGTAATATTGTTTATTCCCTGACACAATAAAAGCATTAATTGATACAAACTGGCAAATAATGATCAAATTCAGCTGTTTATGTTCACTTAAAAGACGTCTAGGTTTTAGGTTAGAAAGTAAAAATTGTTTTCATTTTTATTTTGTTAGAATGAAATTACTTTGCGAATCAACCCAATACATTTAAACATTTGATCGTACGATTAAACTTAAGAATACTTGGTTATTTTATTATTATACGAATTAATAAAAGTAGAAAAGGGGGAGGGGTAGGTTGGTAGGTAATTTTTGTACCTACTGTTATGGATGAATAAGTTATATTGAAGAAGATTTAATAAAAAAAGTCAAATAGAAAAGCTTTGATCCTTTGTACGTGTATGTCCTTTTGTTAATGTGTGTATGCGTGTATATATGTAGTAGTAGTAGTAGTAGCAGCAGCAACCCTGTACCGTTGTACTCGTCGTTCAGAAAGCACCCGTATATACCACGGGATAAGTAATTTAATCTCGTGCTGCTTCTGTTCCGTCCACGCGTCCGTATCCCTCCTCGCCGGTATCGAAGATTCGATAGGTGGATGCGAGTAGTGGTGGAAGGTTCCTATCGACTCTCTCTCTCTCTCTCTCTCTCATGTCAGAGTAATAGTAGTAGTAGTAGTTGTAATAGTAGTAGTCTACGTGCTTTCGCGAATCCTCGAATAATTCACAAGCAAAGTCGACACCATTTAAAAGCTGACCATTTTTTGTTTTTATTTTTATTCCTTTTCGCATAGCATCGTCCTCCTACTCTACCTATTCCCATAACAAAATTTTCTACCACCTTCATCTTCAAATTTCAATCATTTTGTTTTTTTTTTTTTTTGAAATATTTCCACTTAAAGTTTGTTGTTAAAACAAAAAAAAAACAAGGAAACCCTTGACGTTAGAAGAATATAATAAATGCTAGGGTTGGGGGGTGGGTGGGTGAATGGGTGAATGGCATCACCGATTCAAGAAGGCATTCCTTCAATTCCTTCAGAAAATTCAATGTAACTTTGGAGAAAGTACGACAATCGTATACGAAAGGTGGCATTCGTCTAACGTTCTTCAACATCCCTCTCTTCACATTCGTGTCCCTTTTCCTAAACATAAATCCACATTTTTGAATATATAAACAGGAAAAAGAGGATGATACCATAGGTGTATATCCATTTCCCGGTTGGTGGGAACGACGATAAAGATAAAATGCACATGCACGTGTACGCAAGGTAAAGAAATATCTAAATATCTAGATATCTAGATAGATAGAAGTAGATAGAAAGCAACAACAAAACAGGATAGAAGTGAATATGCGAATAAATCTGGAGAAATAGAAGTGAAGAAGCTTAAAGGGGTGTGGAGGAGGCAAGAAGGGGTTGAGAAAGACGCGCGCGAATGGCTTTGAGGGGTTAGGGGTTAGGAAGGGTAGAGGAAATGGGGGTTGGGAGTTTTGAAGGAAGGGCTGGAATTTCTTCGATCTTCTATCTCACATTCTTTATCTCTGTTACACCCCTTTGGACTAGTGTTGAACCCGTTTGATACACACACACACATAGGATTTTAGAATGGTGAACATATATGTAGAATACTACTGGAGGGATGATTCCCGACACGGAGAGTCCAACGTTTCCATGACAACGTTCAGAGTTGGTAACGCCCAGTTATTTGATTGGGACCAACCCTAAGCTTCTATGAGCGTCGCGACGCCAACCAATACGATTTAGCGTCGGTACGGCGAGAGGCTGAGTTTCCTACCATGCGACGAGGGTGCCCGCGCGTCACCAAAACCTGTGATTTTCCTTCCTTCCTTCCTTCCTTCGTTCCTACGTTCGTACGTTCGTTCGTTCCTACGGGGGCTCGTCACCAACAGCGAGATATCGGACCTCGAATCTCCTTGGATATCATCACGCACCGATACTCCCTAAACGACTACTAAATCCTGTTCTAATCTTTATCTTCAACGCGGCAAAATAATAATACACATTTATCATTTTTTGTTGGTTTATTATTTGGGTTATTGTATTGTACGAAACTAAATAGTGGGTTTGTTGTTGTCCTATAACTGGGCTAATAATCATCATTGTGTGTTTTGTTTTAATTAATCGATTATTATTAAATTGTTGTTACGTGGGGATAATACCGCAAAAACAGTTATCATCTTATCCGAAATTATCTGATACCTATTCTTTTAATTTGGAATTCTAGTTGATTCTTGTTTTATTGTGTCATAGTTTTTATTCTTTGTTATTTTTATTTATTTATTTTTTTCTCTCTCTTTGTTGTGCAACAATAAAAAGATTATCAATCTTTGAGAGACATTTCTTTTTTGGTACGTGAACTATTACAGTAGTTTGTTTACGAAAAGTGTTGGTATTTGAGATCGAAGATTAACAGTGTTCCTAGTGGTGTTTTCAAAGTGTTCAAAAAGTATCAAAAAAACATGGCATCAGTGTATACCATCCGATTATTATCAACGAAGAGGGTGTAATCTGTACACGTTTTGCAAGAACTTATTGAGGATTCTTACGCATCGTTGAAATAATAAACTTGGAAAAAATGCAATCGACCTGTCAACAACAAGCCCAAGCTCATCCTGGCCAAAACGGTACCTCCGCAAGTCGAACATCATTTCTAATCGAAGATATTCTCAGTCGTGGTAGCGTACCACCCCATACACATCATCAACTTCATCATCAACATCTTAGTTCAGCTCACGGACAACAACATCAACAGTATCAACAATTTGCCAGTTTGTTACCCGGTTATCCGTCGGCGCCACCCACTGCTGCATTTTTTCTGGGACCACTTTTTGGTAGCGCTGGTATGGGGGTTGGTGTTGTACCAGGTGTCGGTGAACTTGCTGCTTTAAAACATTGTCGACGACGAAAAGCACGAACGGTAAGTACAATTTCAATTGTTTATCCATTAAACCTCACACATTATTATTTTTTAATTGATAATAATTGATCATTGATTAGGTGTTTAGCGATCAACAATTAGCTGGTTTGGAAGCCAGGTTCGAAGTTCAAAGGTATTTAAGTACCCCAGAAAGAGTTGAATTAGCAGCAGCCTTGCATTTATCAGAGACTCAAGTTAAGACATGGTTTCAAAACCGAAGAATGAAACATAAGAAACAATTACGAAAATTGAACACCAATTCCAATAGTAATGGGATACAATCGTCGGGACAACAGTGCGGTACGCAATCCGGTTCGGTGACATCACCAGCTGGTGAGTACAATTTTAAACACGTTATTAACTGCAATTGATTGGGTTCTTTTATTTTTATCATTCAGCCATATTTTTATTACATCAAACAAAACAAAAAAAAAAACTGATCCTTGATATGCGGAAAAAAAAGTCAAATTTACTAGTCTCTTATTTGGTTCGATTGCGTCAGGGTTACGTCAGGGTTTTGCGGGCTCGCGCTATGATTACGATCGATTTGCCATTTACTCGGTCAGCTTTAGAATTTTAGCGCGTGTTAAATATTCCCGTACTATCGTAATAATGGACCAGTATGACGATATAATGCAACCAAAATTCCACTGACAATAAATTACGCAAGTTCGGCTTAACTAACCAGACCATAACCCCCAGGTGGGGGGCTTGCAGGAACTGTAATCATTAACTAGCGGTACCTAGATAATGATCGCCATCTATATAGTAGAATTTGCCGCAATCGTGTATGGCTAACAATGTTACTACATCCAAATTATATTATACAAGAGGAAAATTCAACGATGAAGTTACACGGCAGGCAGGCAGGCAGGCAGGCAGCGGCGGCGGCGGTAGGGACCACGATGATAACCTGCGAACAAGATAGTTGGAGAAAAAGAGGGGGTAAAAGGAGGATGAGGAGGAAGAGAAGGAGAAGGAGAAGGGGGAGGGGGGGACTGAACGAAATGTTGGTTAAACTGATATATCAATTTGGGAATATAGCGTTGAAGTATTTCCTCGTTAGTAAGTAGAATGTTTGTGCGAAACCGTTACGCTCGTTTTGACCTTTAATGAATTAATATCGGTTTTGTTAAAAACTCTACAGAGATAGATAGAGATAGATAGATAGATAGATAGATAAATAGATATTGGCATTCCTTAGGATTAGAATAAAAAGAAAATAAACAAATTTCAAGCAAATCTTCAAGAATTTTCACCAATGTTAGCCTAGTCAAGAATTGTTCTCACATAAGATGAATTTATTTGATTGTACAAAAATAAAAGTATATCGCTCGTAGTTAAATAATAATTTACGTAACCGTTATCATGATCGGTCTTTCCCCCTCTCCTATCTCTATCTATCAGTTGCTGAGGCTAGCCTAATAAAATTGGGTTAGGTGTGTATGCTGGTACACAACTCAGACGGGCCGGCGGGTACTAGTCTTCTTCCTCAGTGGCGAACAATCGAGAGGAATATAGGTCTGGTCGAGCACTTAGCTGATAATTGACTAATTTTGCTCGAAGACCGGAATCGTGAAACGAGTAGGAGGAAAAGGGAGAGGAGATGGGGTTTTGATGGTAGATGATAGAGGGAAACTGAAAGAGAGTGGAGGAAGGGGACTTCTTAAAGTATCCGGTAGCGTCTTGAAGACGTTCAAGATGAAGAGGTAGACAAGACTTGTCCTCACTCATACAACCATCCCCTAACACACATATATACAAATACATTGACATTTCTATCCTCTCCCTTCTTCTTCTTCTTCTTCTTCTTCTTCTTACTTGGTGCCCCCTTAGCTTGCTACCAAGGAGATGCCTCGATAACTTCGTTAGCCCTTCCTACTCTGAACGAGAAGCCATCTTGGCTAGCAAGACGGAGTAACTCGAGGACTCAGAGGTTAGGACGCTGCCTGATGCGGTGCCACCCGATTTTAGAATCGTGCATTGAGTGCATAAAGCCTCCTCTATCTTGCTCACTCTCTCTCAACCTCTCCCCCATCCCCTTCCTCCTTCCCTATACCCTTCCCTTATACTTGTGAAAAGCGACGCAGTTACCTCCCCCAATTGCCACGACTACGCCCGAATTCAACGTTATTGCTCGGATCACGACCCATCTTCTCTCCCTTCTGTCTTCCCTCAGATTAACTCCGTCGCGTACTCTCACTTTGAAACGTTGGGATCGATCAATGATGTACTTTACGTCTCTCGTTTCAGGATTGATATTTTAAATGTTACTTTTACAGTTATTATTTCAATCAGATGATAATGATGATGACTATTACAATTTCAATGAAACAATGCGCGGTACAAATTGCAATTATTTATTAGAAAATTAAGGTTAGATTTGATTAAACCTTTGCACTCCTATGTTTGAGTGTGACTTAACCTAAGTTTTTATCTTAAAAGATATTGTAATCTTGAAAAATTATAATAATGTTATATTGAATTTGTTAATATATTTTACAATTGGCTATGTGATTTATGTAGGTTAAAGTTTAACTTGAAATAAAAATGATTTAAAAGCACATTGTTAGATGTTACTGCAAAATAAAAATTGAAATATAGATTTTCTTATTAGTGCAAAGATTTAATATATCAAATGAACTAATGAATAATTTGTTGTTGTTGTTGTTTTTTTTTTAATTATCGTACGGATATTTTTTGATTATCAACAGAAAGACCGGTGGACTTCTCATTGAGCAGCGGTGGTGGTGGTGGTGGTGCAGGTGGTGGTAGAGAATCGCGAGGAAGCAGCGACGCAGCAATGGATTCTGATGAAGATGAAATTGATATTCTTGGTGAAGATGAAGAACCATCACCTTCAAGGAGCTTAGCAAGTTTACACCTGCCAAAACGTAGTTCATCGACACCATCATTTCATCAAACGACGACACATCCACATCAACATCCTGTTGTTACCCTTTCGCATCATCAATCATCCCATCAGCAACAACACCAACATGGCGTTCAACAACGTCAACAGCATCGCTGAGAATTCCAACGTTGATGATGAATTCAACTTGTGGAACATTTATTTTCAACCTGTCATCACTACTTTTACTTCTATTTCTACTTTTTTCGAACTATCAGCTTCTTCTTCTTCGTCTTCGTCTTCGTTTTAACTCGAAGACGATGTTAAACTCGGATGGGACTTGGTAAATTTCGAGACGGTGTTGTTTGTTGTTCGACAAATGGGGGGGGGGTGGCGGCAAAAAAAAGAAATTAAATAAAAAGTGAAATCGTGTGCGATTAAACGTGTGTTAATCTCCGGAATTTTTTTCGTACGATTATTATAATCATCATCATCATCATCATCATCATTGTGGTTCACCAAAATGCAGGTTCAATTCTGTGCGGGAATATAATTACACACATTAACATATTCGTAGATCGAAGGATAAACCTGACATCAAAATCATCCTTGAAAATCATTTAGGGATTAAACGGGATATTAGAATTAATTAAACAATAATTTATTAATAACGAAAAAATTATTAACAACAAATATAAACGATCGCGCGCATTAGTGAATATGAGGATAAATCAAATGAATATAAATCATCAATTTGTGCCATACGGAAAAAGAAATTCTTCTAAACAAAAAAAAAAGGTGTGATCTGATATGAATGACAAAATTATTATTATTATTATTATTATTATTATTATTATTATTATTATTATTATTAAAAAAAAACAAAAAGTGTATTCGAGAAGAAAAGGGATTATTCATAGCAAATCTTTAGGTTTGGATAAAGAAAGGATGAGATTTGTTTTCTTTCTTAGTCAGATTCCATTGGTGGGAATTGAATGTAAAAATGCTGCTAACACAAACAAAATGACTGGCTGATGATCGAGCTTACGCGACACTTTTTATAGGGACAACAAAGTTGCAGTAATATAAAAGAAAAAGAAAAAAAAAACATGAAATGAAAATAATAATAATAAAAAGAACTAGTCCTCTCGTGTCACTTTTTATAGCGAAGTGTAAAGTTAGCCTGCGGTTATCGTTGGAAATTAAAATGTCGTACTATGACGTCGACCATGTGTCTTCATTTAATCAAATACCCAAATGACACTTCAAACAGTAGATATATATATTTTATTTATTTATTATTAGATACTTTATTAGCTGCATGTAGTTTGAATTATTCTAATCTTCCCCCATTCATCCCCAAAATTGACATTTGACGATGTCCTAAGCAAAAGAACCATTGAGGAAACCACACTAATTGCCTGACATTTTCTTCCTTCTGACGTTCGAGACATTTTCCAGCCCTTAACGATTACAAAAGGGAAACTTTAATAGACCCCACCCCCACCCCATGAACCACAGTTTAGTTTGAACACACACACGCGCAACTATAAAATTGACAAAAAAAAAACGATTAAACAATAAGACGAGACAATATGACGTAAAGTTTGAACAATAAAAGAAAAGGTAAGTGTTCAATTGTTTGGTTGTTACCAATTTGACAAAAGTAAAAAAAAAAAAATAAAAAAAATAAAACGAAACGAGTGTGAGTGAGTGAATTGTGGTCAAGGAAAAGTTACTTTCTCGGAGATTCTATTGGTAATCCAATTTAGAAAGAATTTCAATACGTTTGATGAAAAGACTCGAGACAACGAGATGAAATGATGAAAAAAAATGATTCAAACAAATGTTTGAAAAATTGATGATTAATATTATCAATGAGGACTCATGAAATAAGGAATGATTATAGATAAGAGAAAATCTTGCTACCTGTTGCGGAGTAACATTAGATTCGGTTAGGTGAACCTGACTAGGAAAAAGAGATGATGGTGGTGGTGGTGGTGGTAGGTGGGATGGGGTTTACTACGTCCTGGCACGTAACTGTGGTAGATACGGACGAGCCGTTGGTTATAAGAAGAGGACGAGAATATAGGCGGAGCCTGTGGGATACTCCGTGCTTCCAGTTCGGCTGAATCCTAATACCCAGATAATGGGAAGTAATTGCGAGGGATCAGAGCAAGCAGAAGCTACTCAGTTTCTCTCTCTAACACACTCACTCACTCTCTCTCTCTCTTGGTTTAGGGTTCTCTGTGTGTATAGAGTAATGAAGTAAGCGAGAGAGAGAAGGGGTGGTTAGGGTGGTTCACTGAGTGAATGAGAGATGGGGTACTTGGGGTGGTTATATAAGTTAGAGAGAGAGAGAAGGATACTAACACCGTAGACTACTCCTTTCCACCCCTGCTGACGTTTACCCTCGACCCTTCATCCCAATGGGCCCACGACAAACCTACCAAGTGGAGGATGATAGAACAAGGTTTGGATAGACATAGATAGAGGAATGAAGAGAGGAAGGTAATCGTATTATCGGACCAAATCACGAAGCACGTTCTCGAATACACTTTGGGATGATGATACGTCATTCTCGAGATTTTATGCATTAGATTCTCTACTCTCCTATCTATATTTCTAGCTCAACGTCGTCTTTCTAATGATTTTGTGGTTGAGTATGTTGTTTAAACAAAAGGAAAATAATCAAGATAGTTTGATTGAATGAACATTTTTCTACAAATATTGTTGTTAGTTGAATTTAGAACGATTTAATCATTAAAATAAAATTAACTTGTCCTAAAACATGTGACTATTTAATCAAAGAGCTAGCTTTTATTGAAGGGAATACTCAAACTGTTTTTTTTTTTTTTTACGTTCAGGTATATCGGGAGAACAATGTTGAGTAAGAGGAAACAAATAACGAACGTATTACAGAATATCCGTGATTGAATATTTTTATTTTTGTCCCTATTCAATTTTTTATATTCACCAAAGAGAGAACAGAACAGAACAGAACAAAACAGAAGATAAAAAATAAAAAATAAAGTGACAGAGAGACAGCGGGGTATCTTAGCAGGTAGCCTGCAAATTAATAAGATCACGGGTGCCATTTATGACGTTTATTACATTCCGTTAAGACGTCTATTATTACGATACGTAAATAAAGGGGAAAAAGATAGATAGGCGGATAAAGAGAGAAAGAGAGAAAGAGAGAGAGAGAAAGAGGGAAGAATTGAAGGGGGAATCCCAAAAGTAGAAGCGACGAAGCGGAATGCGGCGAAAATAATGAAATAAAGGACAATGAAGTGGCAGGTACAATAGCCAATAGGGGTTGGGGATGAACGAGGCCTTACACGGCCGAGGCCTTCGGGTGCCCAGGGTGCCAACGACGAACGGTTGACAACCAGTGTGGGTGGTTGGTTGCTTGCTTGCTTGCTTGTGTTGAGGGTTGGTTGGGATGGATGAAGGAATAGGAAGGGGTGGTTGCGCGCGCGCGCGCGAGCACCTCTACCAAAGAGAGCAAGTGCAAGAGAGGGTGTGAGAAGGAGGGGAGCTGGACGTTCAGAAGAAGGGGTTGGTTAGGGAGAGGGGCTTGAGGCGGGATAGTTGGGTCGAGCGGACTAAATGCAGTGGGCGTGTTCCCATTACTTTCATTATTTTCCGTCGGAGGGGTTCGGTACCGATATGCGTGGCTCTAGGTACGTGTAATGCATTCACCTACGAGTTTAACCTCCCTCCTCCACCCCTGACTCGTGTAGGTGACTACTATATCTTCTATCTTTCTCTCTAACTCACAATCACACTCACTGTTCAGTATCCCTCTTCATCTCTCACTTTCACCCCTACGTTCGTGTCGCTTTTCCACGTCACCTCTACCCTCTTCCCCTGTTCATTCTCTACCTCACCATCTCATCCTCATCCTCCTACTCCTACTCCTCTTTATATAGTCCGTACATAAAACGTCGAGTAGCGGCGCGTACATCACAAGAGAAGATCGAAAAGGGGGCCCGAATATTAAGCGGACGGACAGCCTACGACGAGCGTCGAACAGCAAGCGTAATCATATCAAACGAAATTACTCTCTCACGCATTCTCYATCTATCTATCTATATATATATTTTTTATCTTTATCATCTTCCTCCTATCTTCATCATCACTCTTTTCCCCATATAAGAACACAAATATCGAGTATGTGTGAACGTGTGTGTGTGTGTGTAGGTGTACATGGGCTTCTTTGTTGCTTTGTTAAATGGCGCGTAAGCTGAGTAACGAACCATATGGTGCCAACCCAGTGTTGTATCACTTTAAGAGATCACTTACGTTTGATCCTTGATTTTAGATCACCCGGTGGATTATTATAGTCTTTATATGTTTCTTTTTTAATTGTTTTTACTTACTGTTATTGTTGTTAGTGTTTTTGTCTTTCAATGCTTTTAGGTTAACACAGTTAACTTGACCTAACCTATAACTTTTTTGGAATAATCAATAAGTACTGTATTTTTGTTTCTTTTTTTTTTCAGAATTGAATACAACCATAAATAATCTCTGGGATATGTACGTAAAATATTATTACAGTTTGAAAAGAATGAATTTGACGACAATTAGGACAATGAAGAATTTTTATCCGATTTGTGAATAATCAAAAATGCGACAAGGTTAATTCGAGACTACGATGTGTAAATGGAACTTCACAAGGGGATGGGGGAACGGGGGAGGATTTGAAATGGTAGTAGTATAGTATAACGTTCCCGCGAATCGAAATGTCAAGCTAAAGAGCGCTAAAGAGGCTCAAGCGCATCGTGTTCTATGAACGGAGTTAGGCCGTTAGGCTAACAAGCTGTCAAGACGTCGACGCGTGTCAATCCACAGCTCTGCGACCAACCAACCAACCAACCAACCAAGCAAGCAACAAACCAACCCTCGAGATAAATCCACCCTAGAGTACTCTTCCATCCTGAGAAAATCCTAGCGAATCTTCTTTAATACATTCTAACTTTAAATATTATTCAACTGATACAAAAATAAATACTTGGATGTATTTTAGAAAACATTTCATTCTGTTGCAACTTTTAACAATTTTAATTGTACAATCACACAGGAAAAAAAAATAATAAGAAAAAAAAAAACAATAAGTAAGATTGAAAGTTAGGTTATGATGAAACCTAATTTAAAATGATTAAAACTTAACATTTTAACAACATTATAGAAAATTGTAGATATTTTGAGAGTAACAACATCAGGGAATCCAAAGATATAAACTCGAGAAAGGATTCATAGTTGGGAATACGAGGTTTGGGTCTTTGATAGAAATTGAGAGAACGGGGAAGGCAAGTTGGTAGTGGCATAGGCAACGGCATTACTGCCCACGTGCCGTTTAACTTGATCACCCTGGCCAATCTGGCCTCGTTTCAACCTCCGGTTACTACGACGCTTCCGCTAACAAATAACATTGTCGACGACCCTGCGGGGGCGTTCTGATTCGATTTGCACACCCTGAAAGGCGGCCTGCCTGCCTGCCTGCCTGCCTATCTACCTACCTAGCTACCCTCTAAAGGGGTGGTGGGAATCAAGTCAGAGGAAGATAGAAAATACCAATATACACCACAGAAAGAAAGAATATTCACAATAAATGATAAAAATAACAAATATTCTAACAAAATGATAAATTGTTCATTTATATAATATTTTTTGTTTGAACGAGAATAGTGGTAGTAGAAAATCGACCAGAAAATGAAAAACACATCAACAAGATTCTCGGTTATATGTTTCGCGGTAAAATAAATCATCAACGCTAACTTCACACGTCTTT